GTAAATAAGAGACAGGATGTGTTGTTTTATTTTCACTACTTTTATTAAAAAGGGTTCTGTATGTTTTATTCATGATTAAATGCAGCAAAATAAACTATTTCAAAGGCAACAGATTTTTGTAATACTTGGTTTATTTACATAATATCTTTAATAGCTGGAAGCCCGGCCCCTGAGCTGTTGGCCTGCAGTAACTGTGGCCCCCGGAGCAATTTAGTTTAATAGCCCTGCTCTATGCATTTCATTAAAATCTGTTTAGTAGTTCAGAAGATATTTTGTAAATTTTAGCTTAATATCTGTCAAATTGGCTGCCGTATATCCATTTATCTGTTTAACAAGGTTGCTTAGCTGTGGCAGCTATTTAGATGTACATACAGTCATTTATTGGTTTCTTTAAAATGTGTCTACTAATTCATGTGATATTTTACTAACAGACAGACAAACACACAATCAAAGAACATTATTGCCCTCTTGCCTTTGGCAATAAAAGTAATGATTGTGGATTGGTAACTGCAGCTCATGGTCTACAGATGGTGTCAACATTTACCATTTTGTACCTTTATTATACAAGTGTACTTATAATTTATCTAATCTGCTGTAATTCCTGAAAAAAAAAGCATTTATCTGTCTGTATTAAGAATAAAGGAACTGGTTTGAAGGTTAACTAGACTGATTACCATATGAACTGTTGTAAGGGTTTGCTGTAAAAGTAAAGAAAAGTTGTGTTAACAGCAAACAGAAACAGCTTGTTGTACAAATAAGTAGCACAAAAACTGGACCTGCTTTACATGATTGGCCTGTAACTGTCAAAGCTTTACATGGAACAGTGAGAATGTTTCGAACACGCCTGCAAAAAAAGGGAAAAAAAATACTTAAACTGACAACACTCTATCACTCTTCCACTTTCCCATTAACCTAATAATGGCATGAAACTGAAGATAATGTCGTATATTAATGCAAACGGTAGATTAAATATCTTATATTGAGAATATGTTAACTATTAAACTTGAAAATTTGATTGTGGTTTATGGCATTATTCTTACAATTTATTTTAAAATAGCAAATAAATAAATAAATTTTAAAAAACATGTCTTAAACTAATCCCAAAAGAGATGGCCTTGCACATGAAAGTGAAATATGAAACTGTATCTGTGCTAAAACGTTCATTTCCAAAACAGACTAGAAACAGAGAGGGCTCAAACTTTCATCCAAGAGACAGAATAAAGCAGACGGGAGTGTGAAACCAGCACATGCTGGTTTATTTTGTTTTTTTTTTAACTGAAAATTTTATCAAACAAAAATAAATAAATAAAAAATTCTAAGAAGTAAGCTCCTGAGGCAACTGCTCAGTTGACTTCATCAACATTTAAATGTCTTAAATGAGGCTTTATCTGTTGAATCTCCATGTGAAATGATGGTTGGTAATCTTTTAATTTTGAAGGATTTGAATCCTACTTTTATATTATTAGACAAGTTATTTAACATACTTATTCTAACTTGCTGCCATTTTTCAGAACACAGTTATTTTTTATCAAAGTGTATTTTTTAAGACTTTCTAACCTGCATTAACTATAAGTTATATTGAACATAGTCTCTGTCTTCAGACTGCTTTAAGAAACTATACAAGAATTGTGACATAATTACTTGTTAAGTTGTTAATGAACCAGTTATATATTAATGATTAAATTATTATGTTTATGTTCAGACATGGAAACTTCATAGCCTTAATGAGTTTCTCATTCAGTGTACCTAGTCAAGTGTACAGTTATTTCTGGAGAAAAAGAAAGATTTTTGCAAAAAGTGTATCTAACTTTTGTACCAGCATTAAGACAATGGAAGCCCACACATAATGTTTACAATATGGTTGACAAGAAACGAGCATTTTAGAGCTTAGAACACAAGAACATGAATCATTAAAGTAAAGGTAATTCAAATTCAGCTAAAGACAGAAAAGTGTTGTTTTTCTCAGAGATGGAAACATTATCTTGCAAGCCAAATGTCAAGCAATTGTCTAATTTTACAATTCTGTGTGTTTTAAGATAAGTTTGACCAGTTCTGGGCCATGAACAGGAAGCTGATGGAATATCCCACAGAGGAGGGCGGTTTCAGATACATCCCCTTCAGGATATATCAGGTAATTCATACAAACACACCGCTAAAAACAATAATAATAATAAACTAAATAATTTATTTTTAGTCATAATTAAAAGTTAGTATACTGTAAAGGTTAATCCTCTTGTACCAGTAGATGGCAGTAGAGAGCTGTGTAAAACTCTGAGTAGAGCAATCACCTACCAGCATTTATTGATTTATTTTGCCATAAAATATCCTACTGGACAAGTTATCAGCAGTTTTAATCATCACATGATCAATTTATAAAGTGAAAAGCAATATTTTTTATGATGTTATTATGTGTTTGCCTTCTTTCTGAAGCCCTTCATTTTCTTTAAAATGAAATTTGTCATCTTTTTGTCTTTTAGTTGTACCTTTTTTAGACTTTTGTTTCACACATTTGTTAAATACCATTCTGGTTTTATTTCAGTTTTTTTAATCCATAAAACAGCATGCAGTATTTTTTTTCTCATGTTTTTTTTCAGTATCCACAGTTTTACTTGTGCATTATGAGTATGAACTTTGAATGTACCGGAAGGTGTTTGTTTTTGTTTCCCAGAATATATTAAGTAACCAAAATAACTGTGAAAGTTTACTATTCTTGCTTAATAACCAATTAAAACCTGCCCCAGCATGTGCTTATGACCTTTGATATATAATTAGTACCAAACTAATAAAAGCCTGCCTCGTCACAGATGCATGGGATTCCCGTTTCCCTCTGTGTGTTTTTTTTAAAGGAATGCGTTCGTTCATGTACATTTGATAGCCTGGCTGGATGCAAATTCATCGCCCCGAGGTGAGCCAGTGGGCGACACTCAGGGCTCGGTCTGGGATACGTTGACACAGGCAGACATGCAGCTGTAGTTCGGGTGTTTCCAGCAAGCCTCTGTAGTTTTATCCTGACTCAGGTAAAAAGCCCCTTTGGAAAACAAAAACGCACATCCAAAAAAAAAAAAGACGGGATGAATAAGAGGCTGGTTCTTAACTGGAAAACATTAGCCAGCAGCAATCCAGACGGCAGGAAAAAAGCTCCTTGAGTCAAGTGTTGAGCAAATCAGGGATAGCTTGAAAAGTGTTCAAAACGAATGTAACGCCTTCCATAACTTACAAAATTTAAATAAGATATGGAAAAAAAGCAAGTTGCAAAACTCAATTTGAAATTAGTTTAGTAATTCAATATAAATAATTTGTTCTCAGATCAATTAAAGGGATTAAGAACTGGTGTTTTCCTTTTATGTTTTGATACATAAGAACAAACTCTGTGAAAACGTTGTCATTATTGGTTTTATTTTTTATTTTTATCTCAGTTCACATTAAACAGAAACTTATTATCACCAAGTATTATGAGAAACATCTTTATATATATTTTTTATCTCTGTGAAGACTTAAGAATCATAAAAAAGAAGGGGGAAGAGTAAACAGATCAGAAAACAGATCTAACCCTAAATGACTGTAAAGTGTCGTCTCATGGAACCAAAATAGAGATTTAGAAGGATTTCTTTGTAACAAGATGCTAGAGCTTAACTTTCCTACCGAGCGTGTTTTTTCCGTCACATATCTGCTTTGACTGCTGGTAATTTCCCAGCGCGATGGTTTAGGCCATGCGAAGTTTTAATACATCCTGCGAGGCTTCACATATGGCTGCATTTATATTCAGCACAACTATAAGGACGGATTAACGACTGTCCATCAGTGTCAACACTTTTTTTTTTTTTACCAAGAATTTAATGCCTTTGTTTTTTTTTACTTTCAGATCTTTGGCACATACAAAGTGTTTAACACTTTGACAAAAACATTCTTGTTTTCTGTAATAAAACGCAGCTCTTTAAAGTGGCAGACCGAAACACGCACTCAAACCAAGACGAGCCGCCCTCTCAGGCATTCACTTGTTGCAGCAGTAAAGCCATCTAACTGCTGGTGGGGAGGAAAAAAAACAAGTAAAAAAAAAAAAAAAAACAAGACCATTCCAGCTTTAGGCGGCGTTCATGGCTTAATTGAAAGTTTCTGTGGTCATTTATGAGCTGTGTTGGTTTCATGACAATTGCAGCATCAAAGCCTGGTATAGCTTCACTGCATGATTTCCAAATAGACAGAAGAAAGTAAGCGTAATTCATGAAAAAAAAAAAAGTTTTGTGGAAACCGTGTGGTTTTAATCTTACAAACTGCTAAATATTTACAACTCCAAAAAGCTCTGTGAAGTCTGGAGTGCGAACTTGAATCAATTCATCACGATCAGAAACATCTTATAGGGCTTGTTTTCTGCAGTGCTTGGCAAATACTGTGACCAACTGATTATGGACTCTATCTCAGTCTGCACAAACAGGAAGTAAACAAATTATTCAGCATTTAGCCGTCAAATTGATGCAGTTTATTTTAACAGCTGTATTATTTTGGCAAGAATCAAGCAGTTGTTTAGTCTTTGTTTGTTTTTGACTGTTGCACTTCACTTTTGTTAACATTAACACAACATTTTAGTAATAATCAACTAATAAAATATGAAATCTCTTTGTTTAAAGGGATTTTGACCTTTTTGTATCATCCAGTACAACACAATAGTTTGTTTACCGTCTATCTGTTGATACTAATTTTTGTGGGTTTTTGCATAATTTTCCCCCCTTCATCAATTATTAAGTCTATAAGCACAGTTTTAATGTTGAAATTAAATATAAAGAAATAAAGTGAAATGACTGAGGTAATTTACTGGATGTATCATGTATGTGAATTTGCATGTTGCACAAACAAGTAGAAAACTGTAGTCTTGTGCACGTCACACCGTGCGAGCTGAATAATTTAAAGTCTCGACAGTAACACGTTTCATACTTTTCACAAAGTCAGATCCAGTCGGTCATCACAGTTTTAACTTTTCATGAAACAATTCGCACTCTGCAAAAAATTTCCCGAAAATATGTAACACTGCTCGGTATTTTTTTCTGCTGCTCTGAACAGAAGTCGTGCCATAAATGTCCACAGGGAGGCACTCCTCAGTTGAACCACCTCAGCTGACTCCTTTTTTGATGCAGAGGAGCGATTTTTCTCTGACTTCCTCTAGAACTGAGCCAATTTCAGCTGCTCGTATCCAGGATTTGATCATGAGTTAAGGTCATGAGGTGTGGGCAAAAGATTTCATCCATGATGGCTGAAAATCATACACAGTGAATTTAGCTTTAGTGGTAATTGAAGCCTGTCTATAATCCCATAACCAGTCACTATCCATTAATTAGTTTTTTTCTGTGATGTTATGTTAATTGGAAGTTGTAGTTTTTTGATGGTATACACCAGGGGTGCCCAAACTTTTCCCCCAAGAGGGCCAAAATAAAAATCTATTTGAGAGCACTGGGCCAAATGCAATAATATAATACATGAAATACAGATATTTTTTTAAATAAAACTCATTTTGTTTATAATGCTTAAGCTAGCAGCCAGAGCCGTGACTCACATCCTTTTTTTTTCTCACCTATGCAGCAAAGGCTCATGGGACATTCCATAAATTCATCAAATATCTAATCTAAATCTATCTGGTAGTTACTTGTATTTCATGTTTAATTATAATATAAGTAAACACCACGAGTGAAGACTGCACTACAGTCTCCTATATAATCATTGGGTCATTGGATGGAATGACTGTAAGTCACATGTGTCAAAATCAAGGCCCACGGGCCAGATGTGGTGGGTGACTCTCGTGTGACCCCCACAAAAAAATAAATAAATAAAATAAAATTACTTAACATGGAAATTGTTTCTTATATCAATGGTAAACTTTAAATTTATGATTAAATGCAACAAAATGAATTTAAAAGGTGAAAGATAATAATTGTCCTGCCCCTGAGCTGTTGGCTTTAAGTAACTGAGGAGTTTAGTTAGATAGCAGAGCATTAATGTCTGAAAATAAGCTGCTTTGAAGTCAGCATCAACCATAAACTAAATCTGTCATAATGCATATTAGATACTCACTATAAACCTGTCAGCGAGTAAAACTTCTATTAGTTTTACTTTTAATAATATTTCTGTATTTATTTCAGATTTAATCAGTCGTACACGTAGTTATCAGTTTTTAAACTAGGACGTGTTAAAACACTGTTTAGTCAAAGTTAAACATGAAACGTCAAAGTTAACTACAACTGGCCCTTCGAGGGCCACCATCACGCTCATGTGGCCCTCGGTGAAAATGAGTTTGAGACCCCTGGGTGATAATGTGTTTCTACATAGGATGATGGGAGTTTACAACCTAGTCATCAGGGCAACTGCTGGCGGGCCAAATTAAATGGCTTGACGGACCAATTTTGGCCCGCAAGCCCAACTTTGGCACCTGTGGTATACACACATCAGAAAGTGTTAGAACAAAGGAGAAGTTACTTCAGTTGATTTACTAATGAAATGCCTTGCTGGATTAAAGAAAGGCGCCCTCACATCCCTTCATCCTCTCAAAAACACAGACACAAACACAGCCAGAGACCTTTAAAGACAGATTGTTGTATTTAGTATAAATAACATGTGATGTATTTGATGCAGACAGAATTAATGATAATACTCAGTCCAAATAACAGAGGGCTCATTTCCGTCTGGTCTGCTCTCCTGATGGAGAAGGGAGGACTTTATTAGGCATGGATGACACATTTATATGTGTGTGTGTGGGTGTGTGCGCGCACATGTGTGTTTTTGCCTTTGTACCGCAGTATATTAGGAGTTTTCACTGATCCACAATTATTAATTAAACCATTGTAAAAATCCTTTAATTTTTTTGTTAAACATAAGCTCCTTGTAGTTTGACCTCCCTCCTCTATAATTTAAAAATTTTAACTTCAAAAAATAAATAGAAAAAAGGTAAATAATCTATCTTATTTAGATGCAAACAAAGTCATTATTTTAGGATTCATAATGATATTATTTTGTTTTTATCTTGCCATTTTATTTAATTATTTATCATCATTTAGGTTTTTTTTCATTGTGAGCACTATGCTCGTGTGTGTGTATTTACTTATTGCTTGCTTTTCAGTCCCACCCCCCATGTTCGGCAAACTGTGA